CCTCAACGTAGTTTAGGGTTTAGGGTTTAGGGTTTATAGGGTTTAGGGTTTAGGGTTTATAGGGTTTAGGGTTTAGGGCTTATAGGGTTTAGGGTTTAGGGTTTAGGGTTTAGGGCCAAAAATTACTTAAAGGTTCATGGGACTTAGTAGCAAGGGCTATAAGTAAGGTAACTACACTTAAAACTACTTATAACCCCGATTAAGGTACATATAACTGTACTTATTAAGTCCCATGAACCTCCAAGTATCAGAAGGAACCCCCAAAGTAGTATTGGTAACTATTTAGGCCCCTATGTTAGGACTGTTGAAAGCGAGGAAGGGCCGAGCAGCATTAGACAAGTCTGCAGGTGCCGTCCACGAAACGGTGCCGCCAATGAAATTAAATTCGTCCACAGAGTCAACCTGAAGTTAGGGTTTAGGGTTTAGGGTTTAGGGCAACGGAGGCAGGGTTCAGGGCTTACGTTTTAGGGTTCACGGATCGAAATTAGGGCATGGTTTAGGGTTGCTGTTGTTCGTTTAAAGGGTTCTTCGTCGCTTAGAAATAAAGAGACTCCCGGGTTGGTGGAGTGGGGTTTGAAGGCTTCAGGTTTACGGTTTAGGGCTTAGGGCTTAGATGACTCCGAACAAAGGTTTCGGTGGATTTTGTGTGCTTTCCTTGGTTAGGGGCGTCTTGAGACGTGTTTGGGGTTTAAGGATTCAGGCCAGTTAGGAATAACATTGGTAAATATTCCGACCTCTATATTAGTGTGAAAGGTCTGGGGTTGGGTTACGATTTCGGGTTGGGGTTTGAGTGGCCGTTCAGGATCCTACAACATGTAATTTAGTATACAGGCTTTATACACACAAAATAAACCCCGAGTCTATTTTGCTAGGGCCACTCTATTACATCCTAAACCGTCCCAAACCCTTCCATAATGGCAACATTCAAAGGTTAGCCTATGGTAGGTAGAAACCGAAGGCTGACTGATTTCAGAATACACGCTGTCTGCATTCCGGATGTTGCCCACCCCGAAACCCAAGCTTGGGCAACTAGAAAAGATTGATGTCAATCTCTCGCTCGTTCCTTTTTAATCACCTTATGATTTACCTCCAGACCCTGCTCAAACTATTACACTTCTGTTGACTTAGAGCTGTGCACACGTGGCATCAGCGACGGATAGACGGAAAAAACGTCGAAACCGGCAAAACCGTATACGCACCAGCCTACAGAGAATCGACGGGCTGCGGTCCATGGGCTTGATGTATGGGCAGGAAATTGGCTTTGTGACTGAATACCACCCAAACCTTAATTCAGGAAGGCAAGATGCAAAAGCCACGTCCGTCACACCAATATAGGCCCCACCGGCCTGGTGAGGTTGCAGAGGTGCAAAGTTTGGGGTGTTATAGCCAAGGGAGGGATTTCGGAGCTTCAAACTTGGGACTCATACACTCGCCACCCTAAACCCAAAACTCGACCTATCAGACCTATCAGAGCACCGAGTGTGAGCGTTGGGCTTTCAGCCACCTTCAGCAAGCCAGAAAAAAAAGGTCGCAGACTTGGGTTTGGGGGCGGAGAATTTTTCTGATTGCATAGGTGCCTCAGACATTACAGGCATCATTCAAGCATTGGTCAAAAGTTCGGGCAGGGTGAGGTGCGTTGAACCGTGGCAAGGAAAGCTTCATTCCTATTTACGCGTGGACATGTTTGCGGCACCACCTGCAGCATTACACTACTTGGACGCTGCAACCGGAACGAACGGCGGCACTGCCGACGGAGCAACCCCGTCGGCGCAACTAGTTTGATAGACTTCGGATGCCATGTTAACGGGCAAGTTGCTGCGCAACAAAAGTTGGAGTCCCTAAGCCCGTCAATCAAAACAATAGACACTCCAAGCAAGCGTCCACCTGGAAGTGTGTATGCCTGAACCTTTGTCACTTGGCCGAAACCTACATGTAAGCACAACATTGCCGAGGGCAGCTACCTCACCGGATGTATTATTGGGTTCGGTAAGGACATCTGCAAACTACGTGTAAATCGTTATAATCGGACGGAACTTGATCACTGGGGATGCTTCATCACAGCAGTAGAGGAAACATGCCGTGTAGCACCGGCCACACACAGACAGGTCTTCTGCTTGGGTGCAGCGTGGTTCAGCTCATCTGAGATTCTGAAGTACCGGATTGTTTATGCTTAGATCAGCTTTCGGATAACAGATGGCAGCTCTCAGAGTGGCAGACGGTAGACGATTGCGAAGGGTCAGGATGTATGTTTTGGGTTGTTAATGTCAAACCGAATCTCTGGAAGCTTCGCGCGTACCGCAATGCAACAGCATGCAACAGCAGCAGCCCTGCCTGCATCATGTGAGCTATTGGTGATCTTCCTGTTGTATCACCATTCTGTTCCGGATAGACAGGATACATGCCCTTTTGTCTTTGTGTCTCGCTGCATCTTCAGATGAGTTTCAGTTCTCGGGTTTGCGGGGCATCTAGAACTTCATTTCGGAGAGAAGGCGGAGCAGTCGTGCAACAGCTTAAGCTAAGCATGAACACTGGTATGATTCGCAAAACTGTCGCACGTGATCGAGCCCTCTTTATCGCCAAAAGCCCTAAGCCCCACATGCTGCTACCAGGCATCGGCGTGCTGTTACCAGGCTTACTCCAAAAGCAGCACCCTAAAACCACCGAAATCGCACACGCTGAGCCTAACACCGCCTTATTTCTCAAGACCCAGTACTCAATACCACTAAAGCCCTCTGCAACACGACCAACAGATATTCAGCAAAAAAAGCTGTCAGTGCCAAACCCATAAGGCCTAAAAACTGAAACAAACCTTGATGATAGGTTTAGGGTTTAGGGTTTAGGGTTTAGGGATTGGGTAGGGCCTAGGGTTTTACTGTATGATAGCATGTCATTGTGCAGCGCAAATAGGGAGATTCTATCAACAAATCTATTTGGACCCGTGTATGTCAAACCTTACCAAACGCAAAAACAACAGTTCTACACACCAAAAACCCTAAACCCCAAACTTTACTCTGAGACCTTAAATCCTTCACCTCTAAGCCTGCACCCAAGGCCGCTTAAATCCTGAGCTCAGAATATCCTCCCTTAATTACTGGTCTAGGGTTTAGGATTGCTGTCGGAGCTTTAATGGCTGCAACGGGAATACGGTGGCTATGTGGAGACTACAAGGGAAAGCAGTTCTAGTTCTTTCAGGCCTTTATAGCAGGCATCTCATGAACCAAAGGAGCCGAAAGTGATTTGGCTGTACATATTCCGGGTTTAGGATTCAAGGCTTTAGGCTCAGGACCGCGGGCTGAGGGTTAAAGGTTGGGTTTAAGGGTCGAGGGTAGAAGATAGACTACAGCGTTCCAAAAGGGCCCGTATGTACTTCCGACCCGAACACCATCATATGGATCGTTTGTTGGGGACCACTCCCAGGATGGTAGTAGTACATATGGACCCTGTTCAGTTAAGGCCATAAGTAAGCCGGGTAGATACCCGGCTTCGGATTGGTGTTAACCTAACATAGGGGCCTGAATCATTGCCAATACTATTTTGGGGATTCCTTACGATATTCATAGTATAGTTTGTCCCAAAACCCTATTCCAATTATTAAGGCCCCTACATTACATAGACGTTTTATGGCCGGTTGGCGCCTGTACCAGGGTTCAGGGTTGAAGCTGGAGGATTGAAGGTTGGAAAAATGAGAATAGTGTAGGGGCCTTAATAATTAGAATAGGGGTTTTGGGGTCCTTTATAGTAAATCTATCATAAGGAACCCCCAAAATAATATAGGTATTTCGTGAGGCCCCTATATGAGCGGTTTGGGGTGTCTTGCGTTGCCATTTGATAAGCGCAAGAGCGGAGAGTACTACTGAGCCTCCAAACTCCTAAGATAAACCCCGGCACCTGTAAATTCAACATACCGGGAAGAAGGAACTCGGTCGTGTCCGACCCGATCAACTGCATGGTGACTAGCCCATCTACCTCGATCAGGCATCGCGACGACAGCCAGAAAAGGAGCTTGCCAAAGGTCATGCGATGGCTGCCTGGGAATGCCCCGGGGTTCATGGTTAAAACATTCCCCAAACACCGACCGTATGTAACCTAGTGTGAGGGTAAGCATGTTGTTTTTGGCTGTCGTTGTGTTTGGTGTCGTCGCGAGGTCGTGCTTTTTTTTGTTGCTGTCGACCCCGGGGGGCGTTGTTTTTGTTTCTGTCGTGCCGGAGGCCGGGGTTCACTCACTCACTGGCTTCCCGGGTTTGTGCGCAGACAGCAAGAAAAACAATCACAGCAAAAACCACGGGTCGACCAGCTTCTACTCCTACTACTACTACTACTACTACTACTACTACTACTACTACTGCTTCTACCATTTTGGTACGACTATTGTCAAGGCATGTCAATCAATGGTAAGAAGATCTTGATTGCCATAACAACAGCGGGAACAAGAACACCAACAGCTCATTGCCCTAAGACTTAAACCTCGCAAGAAGGAAACTGAACCAGCAAAAACACAACCCTTTTACCCTAAACCCAAACCC